AACGCCAGGCACGGCGAGTGTACAGACGAGCTTGTGAAGCTCATTTTCAGGCGACACGTGGGCAGGTCAATCCGCGACTCGTGCAGTCTCTGGTCCGGTCATTTCCTGTTGGTGTGGAGCTTATTCAGCAAGAGGATTGGCCAGGCTTAGAATCTTTGGCAAAAAAGGACCTCACGCAGGTGATCCAAGACAAGCAGAAGGATCTGGCGCGCCGCTGGAAGGCGCAGGTATCTTCACTGGCTGGCGCCTGTGCCTGGGTTAAGAAGACTTCGCCCCCACCTCCTGTGCTTCAGCAGGCGGATGGCACTTTAGTTTTCGGTAAGCAGTCTGGCGTTGAAGCTCTTTTTCAGGATTGGCAACCGATTTTTTGTGGTGACCCCGATGAGACCTTGGCGGTTGACAAATATCGTAGGTTGTATGACCCTTTCATCCTGCAAAGTGATGGTTTTTCAGTGCCGGAACTTGATGTGGCTGACTTGCGCAAGGCTGCTCAGAAAGCTCAGAAGACGGCTGCTGGCTGTGACGGCTGGAGTGCTGCTTTGTTGCTTGTTCTCCCAAACCAAGCCTGGTTGCAGCTTGTTGACATTCTCACACGATGTGAGACAGATGCCGTGTGGCCGGATGGCATGTTGGCGTGGAGAGTAGTGTACCTCCCCAAGGAGGTGAAGTCAGGTGCAACGTCGACCATGAAAGTGCGTCCGATTGCCATCGGCCCTGCGCTCTACCGGCTGTGGTCCAGCGTGAGGGCGCATCAACTAGGTCAGGCTTTGCAATCAAAATTTAGCAGTAGACATGCGGGTGGTACGGGTGGGGTTAACCCTCAGGTTTTGCTTCTCGATATGCAAGTGAAACAGCAGTGTGAAGGCCATGACACTGGAGTGTCCCTTGACTTCGAAAAGGCTTTTGATAAGAGCAGTTGGCCGGTGTCGATTTGGATCCTTGAGCAGTGGGGTGCCCCTGTCTCGGTTCTCAATGCGTTGCGAGCCCAGTGGCGTTCTCGCTATAAGTTTCTCTCCTTCGACGGCGCGGTGCACCCGTGTCCTGTGAGGAACGCGACTGGAATTCCGCAGGGCGATCCGTTTAGTCCTTTGGCTTTAGCATGTTTTTTGGCCGCTCCTTTCGCCAAATTGTGCGATCAAGTTCCCGGCTCACATTATTTGTATGCCGACGATCGGACTTCCTTGGTGCACAGGCAGCATGTGCAGGGCGTTCTTGACTCCTGGCTTGAACTTGAAAGCGTCTCACGTATGCGAGGCAATGCTGCTAAGACGCAAGTTTGGTCACTAAACGACCCAAATGAGTCTGGTATTGTTTTGGGTTCAGTCTTGTGTGGTGGCGATGCGATGCATGAAAAGGAATTGGAGCGTATTGAGGCAGTCAACAAACTTGCTTCTCGCATCAGTTTGCTGCCGTCTTCCATTGCTGTTCGCGCCGATGTGGCGGCTTCAATGATGTCCAATAAAGCGGTTTGGAACCAGCTCATCACTGGTCGCATGACGCATGAGCCGTCAGCTTGGCGTGTGTTGTTTCGAAAAGCTTGCATGGGTGGCCAACATGGTCGCGCTTCTCGGAATCTTGAACTCCTGGCTCGTTGGGGGCACCGTGGCGATCTCTCGTTCCCTGCCACTCAAAGGGTCTTAGCAACCTTGTGCTCCTGGTGGGAGCGTTTTGGGATTGAGATGATGTTTCCTCTCCCTGATTTGAGAATTTTGCGTAAAGTCAATGTTGAGATGAGACGTTGGTGCTGGACTCCTCGCCAGTGGGGCGTGTGGGAGCACGCGTCCGGGGTTCGTTTGGACATCCGGTCTCAACCGACCCAATTTGGGAAAATGCTTCACGATTTCCGCGAGTCTTGGCGGTCTTGGCAGTTTAACAGTTGGTTGCAAAATCGACAACGACGTGATTCTGCTATTGGCCGTGAGCTGAATTTGCAGTACTCCGAGCATATAGGGTCATTGCTCAAAGGGCTTGTCAAACGGGTGTCCGGGGAGGCGGCGGCCGTTTTAGTGGGGGGCATGTCCACTCCTGCTACTGTCCATGCTGCTGTCCGTCCTCAGCATTGTCCATATTGCCATGAGCCCGTGGTCCCTTCCATCGATCATGTGCTGTGGGTCTGCCGGCTTTTCGCTGCGCTGCGGGTGCTACCGCGTCCGGTTTCCGACTTTACTGCACGTTTAGGGTGGGGCCCTGGGATGACTCTCGACTCTTGTTTGGACCTTCTTCAACAAATGGGAAACATCCGACACGAAGAGCACACGTTACGGCGTAGAACCCTGCAGGCAGCTTGTACTCTCCCTGAGGACTCTGCCTAGCGAGTGGCTTTGCGCGTCCTTAACCCGCGACAGGTTGGGACACTCGCAGCGCTACCCCCCACGGCAGCCATGAATGGCGACTTGGAAGTTGTGCAGCTGTTGCTTGAAGCTGGAGCTCACAAAGATGTAGCCACTGAAGATGGGGCTCAGAAAGTTGGAGCTGACAAGCATGCTGAGCTCAACGTGGGAACAGCTCTGCAGGTTGCAGCTGAGAATGGCCACTTGTCAATTGTACAGTTGTTCTTGGAAATGGGGGTAGACGTGAATGTAGCAAATTCATGTGGAGCAACAGCTTTGTTCATGGCTTCTATGAATGGCCACTTGGAAGTTGTGCAAGTGTTGCTTGAAGCTGGGGCAGAAAAAGACGCACCAACTCAAGTTGGGGCAACGGCTTTGCATGTTGCAGCCCAGAATGGCCACCTTGATGTTATGGGATTGTTGCTGGAAGCTGGAGCTGACAAGGATGTGGTAACCAAATTGCATGGAATAGCTGCTTTGCAGTTTGCAGCTGAGATTGGCCACTTGGCAGCGGTACAATTGTTGTTGGAAGCAGGCGCTGACGTGAAAAGAGCAAAGGCAAATGGGGCAACAGCTTTGTTCTTGGCTGCTATGAATGGCCACTTGGAAGTTGCGGAGCTATTGCTTAAAGCTGGTGCTGACAAAGATGCAGCCACTGAAGATGGGGCAACGGCTCTACATGTTGCAGCTCAGAATGGCCACTTGGACGTAGTGGAGTTGTTGCTAAAAGCTGGAGCTGACAAGGATGCAGCAACAAATCCGCATGGGACAACAGCTTTGCAGTTTGCAGCGGAGAGTGGTCACTTTTCAGTTGTGCAGTTGTTGTTGAAAATGAGCGCTGAAGTGAACGCAACGAAGGCAGATGGAGCAACGGCCTT